CACTATTGCTTATCAATCTTTGTCAAAGTTCTCAGACTGGACCAGTCGTGTCCCTCCCCCCCAACCCTGAAGCAGATTATAAACCCGTTGCTGCAGAGATGGATGCAAACTGTTAGATGCATTCATAAACAACAACAATCTTACTCTGCAGGATAATCGCCTTAAAACCAGGCTGCTCTACATAGCTGCTGTCCTCATCCGAGTTCAGCTTGTACGTGAATCTGCAGAGGCCTCAACTACTGGGCTTTGCCTCCTTCCTGGCATTTCAGTAGATTATCTCTATGCTCTGCCATCACCTTGAGATTAAGCTTGTTTTACTACAAATTCAGCTGGTATTTGCTCTGTGTTCAACAGGCACTGCTCATATTGTCTTGTTACAACACGCAGCCTTTGTTTCCTAAAAAGTCGCAGGATGGCTCAGCTGCGTTTTTATCACTCGGCCCCGAAAGCAGGATCGAGGGGAGAGCTAATGCCTAGTGGAACCTTTCCTTGAATTTAAAAACCCTTCATATGTTAGTGAAGTCTCTCAGGCTGTCTAGTTTCTGGGAATCAGTAACAGCAATGACATGCCTACTGGGAACATTCCCAAGGGCTTTAAAACAGAAAAAGCAGTTATTAGTGGACCTAAAATTAGACTGATACGCAATACTTAGGGGCACATGTACGCTCTTCTGCCTGGAGAAGAGGTAGGACATTACATTTTTGGAAGCATCTAGCTCCAAGTGCTACAGAGTCAGAAAGTTTGATAGCTTTTGAAGTATGGGAGCAGCAGCTGGCAGACAGGAGCCTGGGGTGTAACACAGCTCCTTCTCAAAGCACCAGTCTCTCTTTTGAGTCACTGCATGGTGCTGGCATAAAAGCATCTCAGGAAACAGCAGAGCCCCAAAGACAAATGGTGCAAGAGATGAAAGATCTGGAAGGAAGGAGCAGCAGGAGTGAGAGCAACAGCTTCTTTCTCCCTCACCCCAGAAGAACTGGTTGCAGCTAAGTGTGATGTGGAGAGAAAAAGAACAGAATTGTCCTTCCTTTCCCCAATTAAGAGTTATTGATTGCACACAATACTCCACATCAAGTTCAAAAATCAGGAAAGAAACGACGAGGGTCAATTACCTGAAGGTGGAGCAGGAAAGAGAAAGCAGAAGGCAGCAGGGACACAAGCGCAGGACCCCCAGGACCAGAGCCATCGGAGGGCTAACTGGAGAGGCAGGACATGGACAGCACGGAGAATCTCCCATGGGGCAGCCAGCTGGCAGCAGACAGTAAGAACACAAAGATAAAAGCTCGTATTCATCATATTAAATAAGAGTTTTGCTCCATCGGCTCTCAGGAAGGGCAGCTGCTCTCTTCAACAGCATCTCGTCCCGCAGGGGGCTCAGCGGTACAACTTGGAAACACTATCGTCTAGACTTGAAGATGGGTGCTCATACAACACCATCTTTTCTGACTGCAGGCTGGAGAACAGAGTAACTGACAAACCGTCTTAAGAAAATTACTTTTATTTCTTTTTTTTATTATTATTTTTTTTCCCCTTTTTTTTTTTTAAGTTCTGATGTTTACAGATATGCTTTTATTTCTGATAATATAGCTTCTCAGCAATAAAAATCACAATGCAGCTAGCAGAGCAGCTGAACTAAGACCCATAAATACCAGCACAGAAAACAATGGACAACCACCAATATTTCTATACATGAACTATTATTTTAATGTCACATTTTGACAATTGTAAATGGTCTACAGAATGTATGTGGGCAAAAGGCAGTAAGTGAGTCTTTTGAAACACTAGATGTATAATAAACAGCGCATTATCAACATTTACATGATTCACATCAAATTGATGACATCCTAAATGTATTCCTTTTAAAGGATAGAGAATTTTCAATAAAATATTACATTTCATTTAATACTCTGGTACAATACTTCATACATTGCAGGAAAAAAAATAAATGCAAGGTCTACTCCACCTAATAAGAGGATCCTTTTTCATTAGTTTTTAGTACTGTAATAAAAAAAAAAAAAATCACAATAATGTCATAAATAAAGAGGCTTGAAATTATTAATTACGTTTCACTATTTAAAAGGGAGAAATTAAAAATTAATTTGAAATAATGACGTTATGGGTAGAAAATCAAAACCTGACAACACATCCTAGTACCAGCTGTGATTTTTCCCATCCCTACAACAACAACAACAACAAAAAAGGAAACAGGTTCTATAACTTCGTTAGCCATAGCCTAGTTAATTGTGTTTCAAACACATATCTTAAGAGGAAAAAGTAAAGTTTGGTCAGGATTAATGGGAGAACCAATCAGTCCTAACAACAGTTAGCTGAAATTAAAGTGTATGCTGTAAAACATTCAGTAAATGAAGTCTGCAGCAAATCCATGCTGGCATAAATTATTGTGCCTCAGGAGTCGCGTTAAAGTTTCCCTTGCAGTATAAAGTCTTCTACAACAGAACACTTCCGAACTGTGTCCCTTTTCCATTCCATTGATACAGCAAAAGCTTGTAAATCAATGCTTAAAATTTATTCTCTAAAAACGCACTAGAAACACATGAAACCCACATTCATTTATCTCCCCTGAACCAAAGGACATTTCTCTTTCTTGCTTCATCTGTCATAAACCCCAGCCATTGTCTGAAATAATTAAAAAAAAAAAAAAGCTTTAAGAATCATCCCTCTCTTGCCGGTGCATGAAAGGCAGACAGATTTTATTTTGCAAGGTCTCCCCTTTGGTATTCAGCAGGGCCTAACACTCCAGTTGAGAGAGGAGTATTTATTCACAATCTTTCAAATTCTGTTCCCCTGTCATTGACATTCTTCCACCATATGCTCCCCAGGATTAATACATATTCTGCAGTAAGAATTCCCTGGTTCCAAGCAAAAAAAAAAAAACACACAAACAAAAAAACACCAAAATCCTACAGCGGCAGGTTCTAAACAGCTAAAATGAGGTCATAAGAGGCAACTTTGTGTTGGCCATGTAACTGACTGCTGCTTATACAGGTCAATCTTTGAAGACACGTCACGTTAACAGAGTTCAGATTCATTCAGGATCCTTCTCTCACTTCTCTTGACTTTTCCCCTCAATTTTCAGTTTGGTGCAGAACAGCTCCAAACCCGAACATGCATTCCACCTTGCTATAACGTATGAAGTTTAGAGTTTATCTAACTCCGCGCAAAGTTTTGGACATATATTTAATTGCTGTCAACTGCTCTATACAAATACCACCACTCATAACACCCGATCCCTGTTCAGCAGAAAAAAAAACAGCAGGATGAAGTTGTAAATAGGGACAGGAGAGGAAGCAGGCAATGTAGAATAGGTATCTCACTACCACATGAATAGATTTCTCTCTCATCATGACTAGAAATTTTAGATGTAGAAAGAACACAAGTATTTGTGACTCAAGTATAAGGCTATGACATTAAAACATGTATTATGGTATGCTGGTGACAGGAGTTCAAAAAAAAAAAAAAAAGAGAGAGAGAGAGAGAGAGAGAAAAAACCAAACCCAAAGCCTCAAAAGACAAAAAGGACAATAGGCAAAGTAACAAAATTCTGCTTAACATTACAGAAGCACCTTCATTCAGTTCAAAGTGTTCAAATATTTGATTTTTGCGAAGCACTCTCGGGAAAAGGTAATGTAATCTCCCACTTAACCTTTCACAAAGCTGCATTAATTACATTCCAGGCTTTAGCGTAATTTCACTAGTAAGGCCAACAACGCAATTCCACTGGCCCTGCACCCTTGCATACAGCAACTCAGCGCAGTGTCCACCAGCTGCACCTGCTGGATGAAAATGGCAAGAATTCCTTAACACCACTTAAGTCACAGAACTTCCCCAGAAATATGGGGAAAGACGTTGGTAAGACACCACCGGTACCCACTCCTAGGGACCGATTCTGCCATTAATGCACACGTGCTAACGGCTTCAAGGGGAGCTTCTGGTCCAGATAACTGGACAGAGCAAAACAAAGTGAAGAAACCCAATTAACTGGCAGCTTAACAGCACTTTCCTCGTTCTAGCGTCTCTAGAAGAGGATTTTGTCTCACTGACAACAATCAGAAGTGGTTTCAGATGAAGGGTTTTTTTTAATCTAATAGGGACAGCAAATTCAATGCAGCTCTGAAAGGCACTTCAGGTAGAACGGTAACGAACTCCTGCCTGATGAAACGAAGCAGAAGAAGCCTGCTGGCCTCGCTGCCCGGGCTGCCCTCTTCAACTAAGGCAATTTTTAGTGGATAGCTAGCTTCCATGCACTGCTTTCCCCACACAACTTTAGTTTAGCCACTTACACTAGCATAAGGCCTTACTAAAAAACCAGAAGGCTCAACAGCTTCCACCTCCCCCAGCAGAAGGGGAAGAGGGTTACCTTATCCTAAGGTAACAGCCTGCACAGTGGGTTACTTGTTTCACCATTTTTAATACGCTGTCAAGGTGTCATCATGCAACTTTTTAAAATACCTTAACTCTACAAGTTCTATCTCTTGCTTAATAGACAAACACAGACAAATTAACATAGTGTCCTCACAAACCACTAGGCCACCGTGTCTTTTGAGATATACAGGAAATTTCTATTTTGAGTAGAGACCATGTAAAAGAAATTTTGTTTGATGTAAAGGCTACCTTGCACAATTACTCAAAAATAGCCCATCCAGCCACTCAGCTAAGTCGTAATCAAAGCCATCAGTTATCACAAAAAGCACCTTCATATCAATAACTGTTCACCCCACGAAACTCAGTCTGAGTTTGAAATGTATTAGGACTAATTTTATCATGTAGCTGATTCTATTCACGCTGGTGAGACACTGTTTTCAAACAATCAAGTATTGTTCCCATCAGTACTTAACATTAGTGTAATGGATTTATCCATATCATTGCTCTC